TTCAATAAAAGTATTGTAATTTAACCATTGACACGAATTCACAATTTCAACCATGTGCGACAATATATAAGCTATTAAGTACCAATTTTGGGCACTGTGTGGGTGCTTATGCTTTCCCACGCGTAACCGACTCCTGGACCCGTTAAGTAGAGTTTTTGGTAAACGCAGACCAATTTTTGTCTTAAAAAATGATTTTTCCTTAAAATTGTTTTAAAAGACTTTTTTAGATATTCGACCTATTTAACCCAAAGGTCGATGGCAACTCCCATCCAAATTAATTCAAAATCTTTTATTTTTTCAAAATAAAGTCATAATTGTTTTTTTAAACTTAATTGTTTCAAAAAATGGTTATAGCAATATTAACACACTACACTGCCCACCACCTGCTAATTTTTTTTGGGTAGAATGCTGCGTGAAGACCATCAATCCCGGGAGATTTATGTGGTGTCATACTAAAAAAACCGTCCTAACTTCATCATCTATTTGAGTTCTAAGGCCGCCAACTGAGATTGTGGCACATGTGGAAATAGCCCTTTCATGTACTCAACCTCCCCTCCTTCATTTTGAAATAATTGGCTAAAAAAGGACACAACCAATAGATGTAAGTCCTCTTCGTGCGTGCACCATAATCCATTTTCATCTTTGAGAGAAGTGATCTTCGTCTACGTTTCGCCATGACAGATGCATGATAGTACTTAGTATTACTGTCTCCATGAAGAACCTAATTTGAACATACTTTCTATCTCCAAAAACTCTCTTCCTATTCGAGCACCACTTTTAATTCCGCACGAAGTTGAATGTCAAGGTCGCAAAGGAAATCAGAGTCCACATTCCTCAGCGCCATTTCAATTCCCTAAATGCGAGCTAACAAAGAATCTTTCTCTTACCAATGTGACCGAAGATATCGGTGTTCCAAGCTTGTGCTTTAGTAGTAAAGCCACTCACATTTGTCCTGAAATCCTGATCCTCATGCCATACTGTCCTCAGAAAATCATGAAATTGAGGATGGTCATTCCAAGAAGCTATATATCGGAAAGGATGATTAGGCGCAACACAAACTTCCATTGTATGTTAAAAAAGGATCGGTTTATGATCCAATCCCAGACGATCTAAATGCAATACTTGAGAATTAGGAAACAAAGAATTAAGCTTTCCATTAGCAAAGAAACTCAAACTTGGTTTAGTTTTATCATACCTATAGATTTTAAGAATAATAATTTATAATGAAGATAAAGATTATAAAATATATAAATAGATGATATCTCATCTATTATAAAATTTGATATCTATATCGGAATTTGAAATGTCCTAAATTACTCTTATACTACAAAACTCATATATACATCATAAATCTCAACAAAAATTCCATGTTTAAAATAATTTTTTGTCATAATTTTAAAGGCCGAGACATATTATCTAATTTATGGAATTAAATACTTGACCACAAAGAAACTTAATTTTATAAGATTTTTGGTCTAAACTAAATATTTATTTATTAAAAAACTTAATTATAAAATAATCTTCGATTACTACAATTACAATAAAATCTAATTTAATTAATAATTAGGATTTAAATTAATATCTAACAATAATTTAACTTCGACTTTACTAATTTATCCTCAGGCCACTTCATAAAGTAGTTTTGATTTTAAATAAGATACTTAAGTACATATAAATAACTATATCTAAATGATACGAATATCAACTCTTTTTCAAGAGTTAACCCACTCCAAACCTAAGTCATTGCTTTTTCTCAAGAATTAAATGCATAATTGCTTAATAAAAAAAATGAATGTGTGAATGGATGAGTTCTAATAGTGTCAAGACCAACCTAATTGCGTGTTTCTTGTCAAACTTTTAAGTCTTTCTCTTTTTTTATTAAGTTAAAGTGATTCTAAAGTAGTATTTGTTCTAAATATTATCAATCATTTGACAATGAACGCTTAATCACCTTATTACGGTCGTTGGTGCTCGAACCCATAACCTCTAGAAACATTAACAATTTTTTTTAATTACTGAGGTAAATTGAATTTTTTAAATTACTGAGGTAAGTTGAATTGTGCAGTTGTTAGAATTCATTCAAATCCCATAAGTTTCCTAAACTAAGGTAGTACATAAAATATTACTTTAAGTTGGAAATCTTTATATGAAAATGTATGTGTTTTTATTATAAAAGGCAATATTCAGTTATTTTAAGCTGTTACTTGTCATTCTTTTATCACTTAAGGCTTCGAAGTACTCAAACTCATTTATATGTTTTTTAATTTTCACGAATAAAATGTTGACACATATTGTGATCTTATGTGATTAATAGTTTGATTCTCCTTTAAGCTTATTGAATTCTTTTTAAATTTTAGGGTAAATTACACACTTATTAGTCGAACTTTATTTTCTTTCCTATTTCATTTATCGTACTTTCAATTTTTTCAATTTGCTCACTAAACTTTAGATATTAACATTTTTTTATCACCCGACCGTTAAATTTCTAACGCCGTTATGATGTTGCTAAATTAAAATTGAAAAAAATCAAAAGTATAGTGAGAGAAATAGGAGAAATGATAAAGTTCAGTGAGTAAACATGTGTTATGTTTTATTATTAAAATAAGCCACGTAAGCACCCTGTTATTGAGTAAATGGTCGAGTGACAAAAAAACTTCAATGTCTAAAGTTCAGTGACTAAATTGAAAAGTACGGTGAGTGAAATAAAAGAGAGTAAAATTCAGTGAGTAAACATATAATTTACCCTATTTTTTATTAATAAGATGATGCTACATGTCACAATCTTATTATCATGTTAAATTTATTGAATTATTTATAACTAAAATAATTTATAAATAATTCAGGTTACATTTATTAACAATTTCGTTAGGATTTACCAATGATCAAAATAGAGAAAATAGTACTATTAACTAAATTTATAAAAATAATAGTTCTGAGAACAAAGTACAATAGGAGACCAAAGAACAATAGCTGGGGGTGTCTAGTTATAGCTTATCGGCTTATCCTAAACAGTTTAAGACCGGACTCCAAAATTTTCACATCCTGCTTAGTAGTTCCGTTAGATAGTAGATAACAAGGGCTCTCACCGTTGGGAGTACTGAAACTGGCCGCGAGTTCAAAGTCAAAGACATTTCCCAAGCCGACTTCGGCCGCCTAGAAATCGAGTTGGCGGAGGTCGAAATGCCGGGACTTGTGGCTTGTTGTGCTGAGTTCGGTCGAGCTCAACCACTCAAAAACGCTCGTATCACCGGTTGCCTCCACGTGACTATCCAAACTGCAGTCCTCATCGAGTCCTTAACCGCACTCGGTGCGGATGTCCGCTGGTGCTCCTGCAATATCTTCTCCACGCAAGACCATGCCGCAGCGGCCATTGCTCGTGACTCCGCCTCCGTTTTCTCCTGGGAACGAGAGACCCTATAAGAATACTGGTGGTGAACAGAGAAAACTCTCGACTGGGGCCCCGGTGGCTGACCTGATTTGATTGTCGACGACGGTGGAGACACCACACTGTTGATTCACGAAGGGGTTAAGGCGGAGGAAGAGCATGACAGGAGCGGTAAGTTACCGAACCCAAGTGAGACTGAATCCGCTGAGTTTCGAATCGTTTTGAGTATTATCAAATCAGGATTATTGGTTGACCCCAAAAGATATAGAAGGATGAGGGATAGATTAGTTGGAGTTTCGGAAGAAACTACCAGTGGAGTTAAAAGGTTATACCGAATGCAAGCTAATGGGACCTTTCTATTCCCTGCCATTAATGTCAATGATTCTGTTACAAAGAGCAAGGTAAGGGTCTATTAGAAGTACTTTTGATGAGCTGAGAAACAGTAAAATCTCATTTGTTTTGATTCTTTAGTTGAGTATGTATTTTAAGCATAAGAATTTGTGTTGAATGCAGCTCGACAACTTGTATGGATGCCGACATTTGTTGCCTGATGGTCTTATGAGAGCACCTGATGTCATGATTGCTGGAAAAACTGCGGTTGTTTGTGGTTATGGAGACGTTGGGAAGGGTTGCGCCTCTGCTCTTAAGGCAGTTGGAGCTCATGTGATTGTGACAGAAATCGATCCCATTTGTGCCCTTCAAGCTCTAATGGAGGGTATTCCAGTTTTGAGGTTAGAGGACATTGCCGAAGCGGACATTTTTGTTACTACCACTGGAAATAAGGATATCGTTATGGTTAGTCATATGAAGCAGATGAAGAACAATGCAATTGTGTGCAACGTCGGCCTTTTTGACAATGAGATTGATATGCTTGGTCTTGAGACATACCCGGGTATCAAGCGGACTACTATCAAGCCTCAAACTGATTGATGGGTCTTCCGGAGACTAATAAAGGAATCATTGTGCTTGCAGAAGGACGAATCATGAATTTGGGTTGTGCAACTGGGCACCCCAGTTTGGTGATGTCTTGCTTCTTCACAAACCAAGTGATTGCACAGCTTGAGCTGTGGAAGGAGAGAGGAACAAGCAAGTATGAGAATAAAGTCTATGTTTTGCCCAAGCACTTGGACGAGATGGCTGCGGCACTTCATCTCGGGAAGTTTGGAGTTAAACTCACCAAGCTCACTCCTGACCAAGCTGCATACATCAATGTCCCCGTTGAAGGTCCTTATAAACCTCCTCATTTCTAGAACCATAGGATTGTTCGATTTATTGTTATCCATGTTGGCCAATGTTTATCTATGTACTAGTAGGATCCATAGAGCGAAAAGATGTTAGAGGATGTTTTCCTTTTGTAACCTATAGTATCATCTTTGTCTCTCCTTGAAAATTTATAAAAACTTGAACCTCCGCTTACGCAATTCAATTCCAGGATAATAATCCGTTTTCATTTGGGAACAAAAACAAATTCAGCTAATGTTATGACTTATGAATGTAAAATCATCTTCAATGAATAAATTGGGTTGGAACTTCATCGATATGGCACGAGACAACCAGACATTATCTGTTGTTGGCCTTATACTTAGGACTTTCCCCGTCTATGCTCTCTTCTAACATGTATATGATCAAGATTTTGTTAGAAAATCTAGAAACTGTTTGTGCAATTTCAGGATGTAATTTAAGAAAAGTAAGATCCTGTTAAATCTAGAATCTGTCTATGAATTTGAATAGTTCAATGAGTTATAAATTGTATGGTCTTCTTGAGTCTTAGAAGTTGACCAATATAATAAGATATATTTCAGCTCATCTTTTCATCATCTGCCACTGTTTATGGCTGGCCAAAGGAGGTTCCATGGACAGAAGAGTTCCCGCTGACTGCAGTGAATCCATATGGACGAACCAAGGTATTCAATGAACTTTTCTTGAGTGCATATTATTTATCAGCTCAGTGAAGCAGTGTGAATAAAGGAACTATTAATGTCGTTATACTTTTACCTTTTTTCTAATAATACTTGGGCATTTTCTCCCGTAGTGTCATCTAATCATATCTGACATGGTTGGTCAGCTTTTCGTTGAAGAGATCTGCCGTGATCTTCATAATTCTGATTCTAAGTGGAAGATCATACTATTAAGATATTTTAATCCAGTTGGCGCACATCCTAGCGGCCACATAGGTGAGGATCCCTGGGGTGCTCCAAACAATCTCATGCCTTTTGTGCAACAAGTTGCTGTTGGGAGGCGATCAGCACTGACAGTGTTTGGAAATGATTATTCAACAAAGGATGGTGCCCGGGTAAGTTTTTGTTGGAATGACAGGGTGTTAGGTTCCAATGAATCTTATTTCATATTTCAGAATTGGTTTTGAACATGTGTATGAACTGTGATATGATTTTGAATTCTATTGAGCTTTTATTTACAACTTCCTTTGTTAATTCAGCTTGATAATGTTTTACTCCTACATGTCCATGAATTGTCTATACTTGATCTTTGTCCTTAACATTTGAAATGCACGCATCTTCAGTCTAGCGGCTATTCTAATTGTGGATGCCCAGTGTAGGATAGTTACATGTTCTGTGCAGTGTCACTTTGCTACCAAATATTCACAGATTTCCATTTGTCACTTGTCACATCATTCCTTTAACCCATTCTTCCTTGTTTTTAAAGTGTGTGCCTTACGGAATTTTGTAATTTAGCCAAATAATATTCAGGACTTTAGGATTATTTTCCGCAGTAGCTTTGATAAGGTTCTTTCTGTAACTTAAACATCTATATTTGTTTGTAAATCTGGGTTCTATGTTTTGATCACTTGTGACAAAGTGGCCATTTCTTGGATCTTTTCAGGTTCGTGATTACATCCATGTTGTTGACTTAGCAGATGGCCACATCGCGGCATTAAAAAAAGCTATCTGATCCAAAAAATAGGTATATATATATATATATATATGTATATATATTGTTTACAGGTGCAACTGTTTACCCATTTTGCTACAGGTTGTGAGGTCTACAACCTGGGAACAGGAAAGGGAACATCGGTTTTGGAGATGGTTTCTGCATTTGAAAAGGCATCTGGCAAGGTATTGTTTTCTTGTCTACTGTGTGTTTTGTAATTTTAAACATAGATTTGTACATACTGGTTGGTCTTGCTATTTTAGTTTTAACATACCAATTTTGCCACTTTTTATCAGAAAATCCCTCTTAAAATAGTCGGACGTCGGCCTGGTGATGCCGAAGTCCTTTATGATTCAAAAAAAAAAAAAAAGGCCGAGACTGAACCGAAAAGGAAGTAAGGGTCGGTTACACAGTTATAATAAAATTTTCGGAGCCTTAAATAGTTGTCTTATTGAATTGTGACTTTACAGAGCAAAGTATGGCATTGGGGAATCAATGGAACTGGGCCAGTAAAAACCCACATGGATATGGCTCTTCTCACTCAAAATAGCTCAGCTTCTAACTCATTCATACCCCACAATTCTTTTTATCAGATTATATTTTCCCCCCTAATTCTCTATTGTTAACAAATTTTTTTACACTGTTAAAATGGGCATGCATTTTAATGGCAACATCCTCTCTTGTCATTTTACATATCGAGTTAACGTTTCCTCTCTACTCGTGGTCTTAAATTTGTATCCTTATTTAAATATGATACAAACCAAAATAATCGGCCTACCACCAAACTTGCAAGGATTTGAGGAATCGGAATGATAAATTTAGCATACAATAATAATATAAAAAAAACTGTTACTCGAAGACTAGAAATTGAGATATCTAATTCGGTCGAGAAATTTTTTTAAAAAAATGTAAATGAAATCAAGTATGAAATATAAGTAATTATTTTGATGATTAAAAGATTAGTTAAAGATATTGTTAATCACAAAGTAAATTATAAATTGACTTCAAATTTTTATTATTCGTTCTTGTTTTCTAAAAACGCAATTTAAAAGACGCACATCACACTTTTAAAAGCAAAATGAAAAAAAATAATAGTACTCAAAATAATGACATGTGTATTCTATTCCTTAACGCTTTAAATATTGATCAAAATAAGACTTGTTGAATTGAAATCGATAATTGACTAAAAGTTAGCCGATATTGTTGACGGAATATTTTTACATGTTTAATGGATGTCTTGATAAGTGTCATGTCATATAAATGATGATATATGTCACATCATTTAAAATAATGATGTATCATGTATCATATTATCTAAAATGATTATATGTTACGTACCACGTCACTAAAATAATTATGTAACACATGTCGCATAATCAATTAAACAAATGAAAATGTCTTGTTTTGACCGTTAGCCAATCAACGGTTTCAATTAAACAATGACTGTATTAATTAAAACTTTAGAAATTAAAATATTAAAATTGAAAGAAAAGTCATGCGTTTATTAAGCTCTCCCACCATCTTAAAACCCGCAACTACATAGCGTGTTTGATTAGGGGAATGTGGGATTATGAGGGGAATAGAATCCACATTTCCCCGTTTGGTTGGCCGATAATCTCATTTCCGGTAATGTTTTATTATCAACCGTGAATTTTTTTGGGTATATTACCGGGAATGTCATTACCCTCTTCCCTTAAGTATTATTGGATTACCGGTGTTTTGGACTAAAATGCCCTTAATTTTTTTTTCAAAAATATTCTTATTATGTCATTGAATAATAAAAATTCTACGAAGATTAAATTACAAATTTATCCTTAAACTATTTTAGATTTACAAAAAAAAAAATCTATAATTAAAATTTTATATGAAGTTCAAGGGTTAAAATAAAATTTTACCCTTTCATTAAACTTTTTTATATTTTCAATTTTGTAAAAAAAAACTTATATAAATTTTATGAATTTAAATTTTTTAAAGAAAATATATAAATATCTTATAGTAATATTATAGTAGAATTCAACTTAAAAAAACAAATATATAATAAGGACAATTTGGTCAAATATACATTCCAATAATCTTTTATTCCTTTAATTAAACACGGTAATCTTACATTCATGCTAAACCAACCAAACACAAAATATAACATTCTCAGTAATCCTACTCCCTGAAAATCTTTTATTTCCACTGATAATCTTACATTTCGTTAACCAAATGCACCCTTAGTCTTCTTGTAATAAAGCTCCATTTCTATTACCATTAATTTCTAAGTTGGGGTACTCAGTGGAAAGTTTCAACCTAACAACTCTCTTTGAAACAAATACCAGAATTGTATTACAAAAATATACTCGCTTTGTCCCATTAAAATTGTACCTTTTGCTTTTTAAAATTATTCCATTTATAATGTACAATTAAAAAAATCAATAAACAACAACATTAATATTTTATTTTTTACCCTTTTATGTTTTACTTTTTTACCTCTATCAAAATAAATCTGTCAAGTTTATCAATAATTTCTTAGGTGACGTTTGGTTCGTTGGAATCACTTGGAATTAGTAGGAATTGGAATCCAATTCTATCACTTTCCTATGTTTGGTTCAAGTTTTCAAAGGGGGAATTGGAATCCAATTTCATCAAGGGAGGAAAAATAAATTTCATCCATAACATGATGGAATTTAAATCATTTGGAGGAGAGAATGTGAAATTTGACCATACTACCCTCATCAATCTTTTGGTATTCGGGTCGGATTTTTTTTTTAAATTTCGGGATCGGGTAGGATTTCTTTTTAAAAAAATTTTGGGTTCCGGTCGGGTCGGGTTTTTTTAAAAAAAATTTCGGGATCAAGCAGGATTTTTTTTTAAAAAAAATTTTGGGGTTGGGTTAGGTTTTTTTAAGTGTGATATTCGGGTCAGGTTCGAGTTTAGGGTGAAAAATACCCGACCCGAACCCAAAAAAAAAATTTACCTTATATATTTAGGATTAATTACAATAATAACCCTCTATATATAAGTTTTTTCAATTAAGTCACTGTTTTTATTGAATAAAAATTTTTTTTTTATTTCGAGTCGGGTTTCTAATTCATATATTCGGGTCGGGTCGGGTGAAACTTTATTTTGGTTGGGTCGGGTCTCGGGTGGAGGTTCTCTTGTTCTCGGGTGGAGGTTCCCTTGTTCTCGGATCAGGTGGACCAAAAACCCGACCCAAACCGACCCATGACTATCCCTAATTGGAATGATTTTAACTTATGATGTTTATTAGTATGATTTTTATAATTTATTAAAATGAATAATCAATCAATAAAATGAAAATTTAATATTTTTTAAATTTTTATAATATATTGCTACATGTAAGTTATAAAACAAACTAAAATTAAGCAAAAAAAAAAAAAGAAGGACAATTCTATCATTTTACATTATTGAAATCAAATTCATCTAACATGTCTGCGAACCAAACAGAATATGAAATTGGATTCCAATTCAATTTCCTGCCAACCAAACAAGTTTCAGATTCAGATTCCAATTCCTACAAATTCCAATTCTTTCTCAGATTTCAATTCCCTCATAAACATTCCAGCGAACCAAACGTCACCTTAGGGATAATTTTGTCATTTTCCTCATTCATATAACTTTACATATGGTCAAACTATTCTCCTAGAACTTTGTGTTTTGTCAATACTGGATATAAATTATGAGACGGAGGGAGTACTATAAAACCATTTGCACAAAATCTCTACTTGGTTACTTTCTACATAAGAAGAGCAAGTTTCCTTATGATTGAAAAGAGAAAAAAAATGAGGCTGATAAATGTTTATGTATTCACACACATCTTCGTATCCATACGTCAGACCTGAGCATTATAGTAGGTGATGATATCTTCTGTTGGTTTTCTTCGCTCACTGCATCTTGTAACAATAATTCCGCCTACAAATATAATCGAGTTATTGGTAAATAAAAAAATAGTTTACCTTCAGTTCTGGGTTGCTGTTAGAGCTTAGATTGCTCAATCTATCATTTCCTGCTTCAACCTGGAAATTTTATTACTTTTTTTTTAGTACAACAATCATTTTATTAATATTAAAATATCACTTAAAAGTGGATTACAACAATCATCCAGCCATGAATGACCTATTCATTTCCATCTAAACTGAATCTGCTTTGAGATTAATTATAGTCTAATTTAATACAAACATGAGCACCATGAACCATTAATTGAAACCAACACCACTCTCAAACACATCTCATTTTCCACTGTCAACAACCTCCTATACATCACCTAGGTTTCACTATGACTCATCTATCTCCTTTACCCATAACACCAACCACCTCTCCAATGATTATAGACCTTCCAGCCTCCAATATAACTTCTCGTAATTGTTGGGTGCATGAACGCAAGTCCCAGTCCAAACTGTATGGGAGCTGCTAAGTATGATAATCTTTTGATTGTTACATCGCAAGTTCCTCAATCTTTTTCCTATTCTATCTTTAACACGGGGGCTCCTATAAGATATAAGATTTAACACAGGGAATTCCCGCATCTAAGACTCCTACCGTTTCTAGTTACCCGGCCCTTTGCAATGTCACTGCGAGAGAAGAAGAGTAATCGAAGAAAAATAGCGAAAAGGGAGATTAAAGAAGAGAAGAAAGGGATTCAAAGAACCTCAGATTTCATTCATTCAAATCATAAAAATCTCCCTTTTCCCCTGGTACATGTTTTATTTGTTCACAAGGTACCAATCAGGATGACAGCTCAGCTAATGTTATGATTGTAAAATCATCTTCAATGAATAAATTGGGTTGGAACTTCATTGATATGGCACGAGACAACCAGACATTATCTGTTTTTGGCCTTATACTTGGGACTTTCCCTGTCTATGCTCTCTTCTTACATGTATATGATCAAGATTTTGTTTTATATAATTTACATACAAAAATGGAAAGCCAATGAGACATAGTACTTTTAAGCTTCTAAGAATCATCCACAAACTCGCTGCAAATGTCATATGGCAGGAAACTACTTGGCAGTGGAGCAAGGG